CCCGTTAAAGTGTTAGGCTTGTATTTCGGTACAAATAAAACAGAATGCGCAAAACTAAATTGGGAAAACAAGCTTGAAAAAGCAAAAAAACTTATGAAATCATGGGAAAAAAGACATCTTACTATCATCGGTAAAATTTTAATAATCAAATCACTTATAATTCCACAATTCACATATTTAGCAAGTATGACAGTCATAAATAAAACGTATATTTGCAATTTAGAAAGAGAAATTTTTAATTTCATTTGGGACGGAAAACAAGATAAAGTAAAACGATCAACTCTTATATCAGATTACAGCAAAGGAGGACTCAATATGATTGATATCGACAGTTATTTTAACACACTTAAAATTAAATGGGTATCAAGATTAATAGAGTCAAAACATGAAAATTGGTCAATTATTCCAAGATTCTTTTTTGATAAATATGGTGAAAACTTCCTTATCTTTAAAATGAATTTAGAAATTAATAATTTAAAACCACTTAAAATCACAACTGGATTACCAGAATTTTATCTAGATATTGTAAAGTGCTGGATACTTAAAGGTGGAGGTCAAACTAAATCGCCCACTAACTTTAGAGATATACGCAAAGAAATTATATGGGGTAATAAAAACATAAAAATAAAAAACAAACCATTATTGATGTTTAGCTGGATCAAAAGTAACATAATCTATATCAATGAACTTATTGACGAAAACGGTCAAATCGATGAAAAGACAATACTGCGAAAGTTAGAAATAAAACACAACTGGATAGCCGAACTATCAATACTAAAAAAAGCTATACCAAGAAGTTGGACAGATATCCTAAAAACAAATAACTCTGTTAAAACCCGAGTTAATATTAACGAAAAATTAATTAGAATGAATAAAACAGAAATAAATTTATCAGACCTAAACAATAAAACCGTCTATCAATATTTTATAAAAAACAAAATAACTCCTAACATTGGAATAATAAAATGGCAAAGAATATTAGACGCAAAACAATTACAAATTAGACAATCCTTATCCTTTACAAACAATGAAATATACATAAACAAACTTAAAGTTTATAAATGGAAATTATTTAGCTATATATTACCGAACCAAGAAAATCTTTTCAAATGGAAAATATCAAATACCCCAGAGTGTGCTTTATGTAAATGCACAGATAATTATCAACATTTTTTTAACGACTGTAGATTTGTAAAAGACTTTTGGATTAAAATAACAGAAAAAATGAAAAACATAAACTTTTGTAAGAAAATAACCCTAACAGATATAGTCTTTGGATATAAAATCGGAGACCGACATTATAATGATATAAATCTTATTATAACTTTGATAGGTTTCTCAATTTACAAATCATTTTACACATCAGAACAAAGAACAAAACCCGCCGACATATACACTATCTTTACAAATGAATTTGAATTATACTTTGAAGTAAACAGACATGTGAAAGAACGCAAAAGTAATCTAATTCGTAAATTTCAAAAATTTCTGTAAAATGTGCTAGATTAAAATATATATATATATAAATACATATATAGTTGTGAAGCATAATGTATAGAATAATAACTAATGTATCTATAAAATGAGATACTACACGTGCAAATTTAAAATTGACACCTTTGCGTCCGTTAAGAAAAATCTAAAATTTCACTTAAATTTTAAAACTTTAAATCATAAAACAAAATTAACGAAATATTATGAAAGACAATAAACATTCTATTTGGATAACAAGAAACATATAATACCTTACCTTTTGATTATAATCCAAAATCAATAAGATTAACACATGCACTATATTATCCTTCAATCATGTCAGGTTACGATTATTTGATCACACTGGACACACGCACGATTTTTCTAAACGAGTAAAATATGTGTCAGGTAGATTAAGGATGGAAAAGTAAAGGTCAAATCCGGAATAAAATATACGTAAATGCAAATTTAAATGATTTGCAATTATATAAGTTTATATTATAACATATTTGTATTTGTAATTAGCTAACAATTATAAAGTAAAACTTATCTTTAAGACACCCTGTTCTTAAAGATATTAATATATCAGGGTACCTTGTTTGTGAAAGCTGTAGCAATAAGGTTATTGTAACAGCTTTAGACCAATAAATCAATTATCATAGTCTAAAAAAAAAAAAAAACCTCCTCCCCTCCCAGAGTATCAAATGGTCATCCCTCAACTTGAATTAATCTATATGCACACACAACGTAATATAAAAGAATATTTAAAATAAATGGAAATTTTATTTCTTTAATACGTCATATTTTGAAAATTTCAAACATTATCACTGACAAATTACAAATCATATTTCACACCGAATATAAATAGAAATCTTATCTAGGTTAAACGATAGCTTATTTAGTTAAAAAAAATAGCTTGTTTATTCTAAAAGATATTTTATAAACTATGCAAGATGTCTTATATATATATTTCATTTTAAAGATATCTTATAAAGAAGTCTTAATAAGATATCTTATAAAGAAGTCATAATAAGATATCCTGTAAACTAAATAAGATATTCTATACATTAAATAAGATATATAATAAACTAATTGAGATATCTCATAAAGTTTTACAGATATCTTAAAAACTAATACAGATATCTTATAACTATCAGATAACTTATAAACTAATAGACTGAGATATCATATAAACTAAATAAGATATCTAATACATCAAATCAGATATATTATGAAACTGGATCTGTAATAAATGTTTGTGTTCCATGGGAATTTTGCTGAAATGTTCGATTTATCCTTTGTTTTTCTAGCTTGAAATCTGTTAAGTATCCATCCTGGTGTCACTTTTAATTATGTCGCTGTCAAAATATGAATCATGTCGACGATGATAGTTACATTTTTTTAAAAGAGTTGTTTTTCCTAAAGATTGGAAAAGCAATTAGTTATTGTATTATATAATCTTCTTTTAAGTTTGGTGAATTTACTTAACCGAATAAGTCCAAAAATGTACTTTTACAAAATAAGGCATATTTTAACTAATTTTCTACAAATGATTACTAGAATATGAAGTTATGGTAAAGACATTTTTGACCCCTTGAAAGGAATACAAAAGATGAGATCGATAAATGAAATAACACACTTCGGATCTTAAGGGCATACGATACAGTTTTGATCCCACGATGATTTTTTTACGAAAATTTGAATACAACCTATTTTTCACCGAGTCAATTCAAATATGTAATAAAAAATATACCTTCATGTGCTACCTTAAGAGATAAATGGGTCGAAATTTTAGACATTTACTCAAAATTTCGGTTTTTTGGACATTTCTATCCTTTGGACAGACATACCCAACTTTTTTGTTTCAAAAGATAAGCAAAAGCGGATATTTGTAAAAACGTTCGGAAAATCTTCTTTATATAATTATGCTCTAAGTTTGTATAATAATACTTTGGAAATAATTAATTTTTATCAAAGGTTCATGATTTTAGTTAAAAAAAAACGTCATTTTTTGCTGTATATTTATCTAATTTAAAAAAATTTCATCGCTGACTTTTTCATAAAAATTGGTGCAAATAATCTTCATACGTAATCAAATCTAATGTCATTTTAAAAAAGAGGTGTCCATGAACACGTTTTCAAGTTAAATCGGTCTGAATGATAAAAATCTGTCGAAAAAATGCATCTTTTCCCGATGTGTCACAGTTAGAAGTCGCGAAAATAACATTTTACGTTTACTTGTTGACTTAGCAACGTCATTACCTCCCCTGTAACTGTATCGTATGCCCTTAACACTTCATTAGTCTGTCAGATATTTAAATATTATGTTGCACATTTACCCTGATTTCTAAATTTGTTGTATTTCAGGAGTAAATTAGATCGAACTGATTAGATTTTTACCTATTAAGACTGTTTGTTTTGTTCGCACGTTGTAGTCAATATAATGGAATTTTATGTGACTGTCATACAAGTGAGAGGTTTAGCTAGCTATAAAACCAGGTTTAATCAACCATTTTCTACATAAGGAAATGCATGTACCAAGTCAGGAATATGACAGTTGTTTTCGATTCGTTTGATGTGTTTGAGCTTTTAATTTTGTCATTTGATAAAGGACTTTCCGTTTTGAATTTTCCTTGGAGTTCGGTATTTTTGCTATTTTACATTTCACAAAATGTCTACTATGGTAGCATGGTAGCCTCGAGTGTGGGAGGTCGTGGTTTCGATCCCTGCCCGGATCAAACAAAACACTTCAAAATTAGTATTTGCTGATTTTCCGCTAAGCACGCTGGCATTTAGGAGAAAGAACAAAGACTGATCTGTTCGGAGTCAGAATAATGTTTCCGTGTAGGATGACATGTTTTCCTGTGAACTAGCACGTTAAAATCCGACTAAGCGTGTCGGTCTAGTACAAAGCAGGGTTTATATTTCATAGCATGTTCTCGTCCTGAATATGCATTTGATTTGCCACTGGACATTACACATCCATCCATCCATCCATCAATTTTGTATTTTCTTATAACATGTTTATCCTACCTTTCATTTTAGGAAGTGAAATCAAAAAATGTTCATATTCAAAATAGATCAATATGGAATTCATTTTAAATTAAGTGTTTGAAATTGCTGGAGACTATTATTTAAATATACTAAATAAAGTTAAATTGTAAAAATCAAGTTTAATTGTGTGCTTGCCAATTATTCAAAATCTAACTATAGTGTCCTTCAATAAATTGTTAGTCTATTTGCCAATTACAATTTGATTCTCTTATTACACCTTTTCAACATAAGTTGGTTTCCCTTGTCAATTGACGACTGATTCTATAGACAATTGAATGGGCTGCTACCCATGCAAAGCATGATACGTTGAAAGTGAAATATTGGTCATTTAATCAATATCTTATGTAAAATAACTATTGATTTCATAAGTTTTTAGCATAACAAAAGATTAAAAGTAATTAAAATATTCGATTACACACATTACACGCGTATAAATTTGATATATCCGTTAGCTCTTCATTGTCAATGAAAATGTACGTCCCTCTCGTATCTCTTATTACAGTGTCAATTTCTGAATTGGCAAATAGACTATTAAATAATTAGAAAATATTATCGAATAATAAATCAAGTTATGTCTGGTTATAATCAATCGAATGAATTTATAATCGTATTGTCAGTATACCTTGTGCAGGTAGGTTGGACATATCTCTTGTTCTTTACATATGTGTATCTATTTTCTTTAAAATCTAATTTAAAATAATATTTTTAAAACAAATTAAAATTTGTATTATCTGGTCATATAATCTTTAAAGATAAATGTGTAATGTTGTACCGTGTGATCCGTATGGCAATTCCATTACAATGATCTACACGGTCGCAAATATTCGTTTTATTGACTCCACTGCGCGTCCCCAGTAAAGCTGCATTTGCGACTGTCAAATTGCGAATTGACGACGGCAACTATTCAACTACAGTACTGTTATTCCTGAATTCTATGAAGACAACGACATCCCAATAACTGGCTTATTTAAATAGTTTTAACATTTCTTTTCTCTATTTTATTTTCCTTTAATATATATCGCATATAACAGGAAATCATATATAATTTTGTATTCATTTTGTGGACGTGACATTTTGTGGAATTCTTTTATATTGAAGAGCAATGACTCGCTGAAATATGGACTATTGATCGAAAGGACATCTTTAATAATTCCTAACGTGAAATTACAGAATTACAATGCTTGATTTCGTTTTGTTCCCTGTGTGAAGGTTTGTTTGCATTTTGAGATATATGACTACAAAAACAGATCGGTCAGTAAAGGTGCACAATGAGTGCCGATTGGAATATCGGCTGTTTGTTGAAATATGAATCCACAAAACTATACAAATATGTTGTCAATCAAAATGTCCAGCGTGGGAGCGTCTTCGGTGTACTTGTTGGCATCCTAGTTGAACTTCACAGTGTAAAATTCTTGTTGACCAATGAAAAAAAAGGAAATGGTACCTACGATTTAAATATTTTGTACAAGAAAAGCATTGTTTTATCAGCCGATGTTGGCGGTCTTTCAATTGAACATGTTAATTAGAAGTGCACTATCTTACGAATGTTAAGGGACCGTCTTTAACTTGCAGTCAGATGAGAGTTTTTTTTTTGCTTCGTGCTGAAGGGTCACTGTGACTTTGAGATGAAGAACAGCAATAAAAGTTATGTTTTTTTCTTCTTACGTTTTTTGCCGTGCATGTACTGATTTTGTGTCATGAATGGATATCCCATATCCTTTCTGTTGTATTAAGAGTGTAAAACAATCAAAACTTTTTATATGTATGCTAAATGTAATTGCAGTGATTGGTTCGAAGATATTAAAGTAGATCTCTAGAATATTAAAGAATCGTCATGTAATTTAAACCGCTGGTTGAACAAAAAATCAAATCATTTTTGTTAAGGTTTTTTAGACGAATCGAGCTATTTCTTTATCAAGATCTGAAAAACGACATTTCTTCCATTTAATATACTATGTTTTTATAAATTTATGTTCTGCAGTTCACAAAGATTAAAAGCTTAAAAGAGTAAAATTTAGCCAATTAATGTCACAACCCCGGCCTCTTGTCCTATTCTTTGACATCACATAGAGAAGGAGGATTATCACCAAATTTACTTGCCATGATAACACGAGGGGGCCACATGTCAAACAGGATCTGCTTTCTATTCATGAGATCACCCTAAGGTTTTGATGTGGTTTGTTTTGCTTAGTATTTAGTGATCTATGTACAGTTTGAAGACTGGCTTTGTTTTTTTTTTGGTCATGGTACTGTCGGTTTTTGTTTTACTTGTGATATTTGAGTGATTCGTTGGTATTTTCTGATGTTGTTTTGTATTTGTTAATCATGCTAAAAGCTCGTTCTTTTGATTTTATATATCATAAACTTTCTTTACGGCTATTAAATTAATACTTCCTGGTCGACTAAACTATTAAAGAGTTTACAATAACTATTGAATGAACAACAAAGCCAATGTACGCTTTATTCACAAACATAGAATAATTTGAATTAAACAGTTTGCTTTAAAAGTAGTTATAAATAAAATTCTCTATTTTGGTATATACTATTACTTGTTTTGGTAAATAGAGTCGTGACAGCTAGCAGATAACAAACATACGTTCATAATAACATTTATCTTGTATGAAATCTTTTAATTGTGGAAATTGGATTATGTGTCTTAGGGTCAAATACAAATTTGAAAATTAAATATTAGTATTAAGGCCACATTGATTTATAGTTTTTTTTTTCGATTCGCTCGCTCCAATATTGTGGAAACTTACAAAAAATACGGCCATACCGTTATGAATTTCTGAATTAGCACTCAATTTCAATTTAGGAGACAGTAGTTTACCAATTTTCAAATTTCGTAAAACAACTTATAGAGACAAATAAAGTAGCAAACACAAACTGAGCGTATAAGAGCGATACCGGTTGCGTCGACTGTGTAAGTGTCTCTTGCCATGCATGCATCAACAATAAATGAGATCAACAATTTAATTTCTAAATTGTCATCGCTCGCTCCTTAAGTCACAGAAATAATGTCTCGCTCCGACAGAAACAATTTTGAAGGTTACAATTTGATGAAATATGCTAGTCTCTCACCAAATTTCAGGTATTGCATTTAAGAATTCATTTGAGAAATGGTGCTTAATCAACAATATCCTTCAAGATTTATGCTCAGAATGAGCCATTTTGTATTTAACAAAATTTGAAAGCAGACAATATCTGGAAGGGCTTTGCTTATACATTTTTTTGTGAACAGAAACAAATAATTAATTCCAAAACAAAACAATTTTTACTTTAACCAGGAATACGTTACCTTAGCTGTATTTGACAAAACCTTTCGGAATTGTGTGTCCTTAATGCTCTTAAACTCTGACTTTTATTTGGCCTGTTTAAATTGTTTGATTCGAGCGTCACTGATGAGTCTTTATTAGAGGAAACACGCGTCTGGTGTACAAAAGTTTAATCCTGGTATCTATGATGAGATTATCTAATAGGGCTTGATTTTCATATATTTTGACAACAGAGAAAATTCCGGTTTTGGTTAAGGTAAATGCCAAGTTTGCTTAAATTCCGCGCTTATGTGTTTTTCTTTAATGAATAATGGCAGCCATATAAAAATGGTAGCCGATGGAATTTTTGAAATAGCGAATCAATTTGAATTGAGACGAATGTGATTTTCATGAGCAAATACTAACTTCTAACGGCAAATTTGACACCGGGTATCAACTTTGAACAACAAATTTAGCTATATGTCAGTTTCCGTTGCAATCCTACAAAAAAAAATGATTTTTTTTTCAAAATGTTACATACTTGTATAAAAGTGACTCACAGAGGAATGTCATACTCATCAAATTACACACACTTGAAAACATATCTGGATTGGAAAAGTTTTAATGATGTAAAAAATTTGACTTAGACGTACAATTTTTAATGATTCGACAAAGTTAAAAAAAAGTAAAAAACAATCGCGATCAAGTTCGATCAAGTTGTTTTAGAATTAAGCTCTAGTAAACATTGTTTTAAGATTCTAAGACTCGTATTACTTAACCATCTCTCATATAAAAACGTATTTTCTAAATTAAGGGCTGCCCTTTAAATGACTACTAACTAAAATTATCATTGTATTCGTGTATTATGGTAAAGATAATTAATCACCCAGTTCATTTATTAGATTTTAGTTTGGGTCAACTAAATTTATACGATATATTTGGTTTACAGTTTGATTCAGAAGAATCACCGACATAGCTAGATAATACAATTAATTATCTAAATACTACCACAATTTTATATTAATTAGTATTGCAATTTTCATTGTTATTAATAATGTTACATGAGTATTACAAACCTAATCTTGAATTCTATCCTAATTCTATCCAATTTTGGGGAAATTTTTAGAAATTCAAGTGTGACGTCCCTTTGTGCGTTGATCCATTTTTTGCTAACTCGGCTGTGAATTTTTATGTGCTGGTTTATGTTGTTTAATGTATCCGTATTTTTTTCTGTATTTAGTCACCACTTCGGTGTTATCATGTATATCTATTATATAGTCATTTGTTTTATAAATTTACTATTTGCATAAGTATGAATGATTCTAAATAATAAGGATGTTCTTATCCCAGACAGAAAACCTTAGCCGTATTAGGCACAACTTTTTGGAACTTTTGGTCGTCAATGCTCTTCAACTATGTACTTGTTTTGACTTTCGAACTTTTTTGATCTGAGCGTCACTGGTTAGTCTTGTGTGGACGAAACGCGTGTCTTGCGTATTAAATTTTAAATCTGGTACCTTTTGTTAGCTATTATTCGTATGTTTCTCTGTCTCATATGTTCTTCCATTTATTTGTATTGTAGTCCTGTCATGTAATGTTGTCATTAAAATGTTATATTTAACATTGCCATAAACGGGGGAGGTTTGGCTAGCCACAAAACCAGGTTCAACCCTTCATTGTTTTCTTAAAACGTCCTGTACCAAGTCAGGAAAATGGCCATTGTAATATTATAGTTCGTTTCTGTGTGTGTTACATTTTAATGTTGTGTTTCTGTTGTGTCGTAGTTCTCCTCTTATATTTGATGTGTTTCCCTCAGTTTTAGTTTGTAACCCGGATTTGTTTTTTTCTCAATCGATTTATGAATTTCGAACAGCGGTATACTACTATTGCCTTTATTATACACAAATTGTTTAGTAATCCTCATTAAAACTTGTTAAGCTTGCTTTTATATGAATATACACTGAAATGAAATGAAAGCACCATTGCAATTTTAGGGAAACGACATCTAAAAATTGAAATTATAAAAAAAACTAAGGTTTCAACTCCCTCAGGCAAAGTTGACCTTAGATGGATATGGCTATTATTTTATGTCCTTTCTGGTCATATAGCTCTTTAACTGTTTCGGTTCTTATACATCATTGGCTTTCATATATTCGGCTTTGAGCGTTCCTGATGAAGGTTAATCCAAAAAAGCGCTTCGGACGCAAGGACTTTGTAACGTGTTTTTTTAAATAGCATACGGTTCTGGTGACATTAACTTGCGACCGTGGCTTGAATATTTCAGCCAATATCACATCGTTTGAAAAACGGAAACTTTTGTATAATAAAAATAACATGAATAAGTTGTATAAAAATCCCGAAATCCTAAAGAGTTAAC